TTTATTTAATTTATTACATTTTTACTTTTTATAATTTTTATTTAATTTTTTGATGATATGATATAATATGTTCCATATAAACTATATAGAATTTACGTGTTAAATTTATTTTTATGTGTTATATAAAATATTTCTTACTTCATCTCTAATAGGCAAGCTCAAAAATAGATTTGTATTTCAATTCTTATTTGCCTATTCTATTATTTGCTCTATAATTTTAAATAATAATATGTATAAAAATTAATTTCATGAAAAGTCTCTTTTATCTGCATAGAAACTTTTCTATTTTCAACAATAGCTGCCTTGTTGCCTGTGAAGTTTCATGACAATTATTCATTTATTTATTTGTTTTTCATACCTCAATTAATTTTAAGTCACAATTTACACCTGCTTCGTTCTATGTGCCACTCCCACTTCCACCTCATATCTTGACTAAGCGTCTGAGCAATTAGGGCCAGCTGGAGTGTAAGTGTGTGTGTGTGTATGTGTGACACCAGATAACCGTACGTAGTTGCACATAGCGTGGTAATCCCCTTTATAGCATTCAATCAACTGCTGTCAAAAGTTGCAGCGCCAAAAGCTTAGCAACTCCAAATTCCAAGACAAACACAAGATATTTCAAATTGTTTTCAATGTAAACAAAAAATATCGAAAAAAAAAAAAATACATAATGACAAAATTAAAAGAAGAAAGTGCATATCAATCTGTTGACATAACGAAATATTATCAACGTAAAGTTGAAACATTATGAATTTATGCTGCGGGACGCGTATTCTCATCGACAGGGGGCGTATGAGTGCCGACAGTTGCTTTGCCCCGCTTATCGCTGCTCCACTTTTGTTTGTTCGATTGGCAAAAGTTTCGATGGGTTCTGTGCACGATCTGTGGATGATAGCATTTTTATTATCACACGATAATTGGCCTTGAATTGCAAAGTAAACTTTTTGATTTTAATATATTAATATATTCCATTTGTGAAGTTTTGTTAGTAAAAACTCAATGAATATTCAATTCTTGTGGAATGCAAAACAGACGTAGATTAAAGCATTAATAAATTATGTTTAAAATAATTATTATTGCACTTAAAAAAAAGTTAATATTAGATTATATAAAATAAAGTTTTATTTTCTGGATTATTACAGGATATTTTCTAAATGTAATATGTAATTTTGTATATAATATTCATGCATAATTATATGAATCCTGTTTGTATAATTAAT